GACTAAAACAGACCAGGACCATATTTTTATTATTACTATTGTTATTATTATCATCATCATCGTCGTCGTCATCATCATCATCATCATTATCATTATCATTGTTATTGTTATTATTATTAGTACTATTACTATTATTACTATTATTACTATTATTATTTTTAATTATAAATGAATAAAATATAATTATTTATGGATTATAATATATATAAAAAATAAAATCTTTATGCAAAAAATATAAAAAATAAAATTTCAGACCAAACCATATATTATTATTATTATTATTATCGTCATCGTCGTCATCGTCGTCATCATCATCATCATCATCATCATTGTTATTGTTATTATTATTAGTATTATTACTATTGTTACTATTATTATTTTTAATTATAAATGAGCAAAATATAATTATTTATGGATTATAATATATATAAAAAATAAAATCTTTATGCAAAAAATATAAAAAATGAAATTTCAGACCAGACCAGACCAAAACAGACCAGACCAGCAAATTACAGTCCTAAGTAAAAACATCCTAAAGCTTCGCAATTGACAGCATAAAATTCAAACTATCAAGCAAAGCCGTAGTAGCAGCAATAATAGAGGGTGTGTTTCATTTTTTATTGTTGTGGGTCCTGAACCCGGAGGCGGAACCAGGACCGTTTTTTGAGGGGCGGAAAAGTATGTCAAAATGAAGAGGATTTAAAACTATACTCTCTCGGTTCCTTAAAAACTTTGTCAAGTTTGACCGGCACGAGAATTAATAAAGTAAAAACTGTGTGGTTGTGGTTGAGGTTTGTGCAGAAGCGAGAGAATTAAGTGGAACCATAAATTCTTTACTTAAAAGTGAAATTGGCAAAGTTAGCAGGGCAACTAAAAAGGAAAGTTGACAAAGTTTAAAGGGACGGAGCGCGGAGGGAGTATTATATTTATTCTACGTAGTATGACTTTTCCATCATTTGCAATGGAGCCAAAGATTCATTATTTTTGGCTTGAGATTATGATGGAATAAAGCAAAATGGCTCATTAAAATGTCTGCGCTTCTTTTTATGAAGCAGCAGTCAGTCCATGCAATTTTGGACGCGATTTTCACTATGGGTCATCCGGAAACAGTCTCTCTGTGCTTTAGTGCAGGGGCAAGACTGCGTACATCCGACCCCCCCCCCTTACCCCACCGTAGGTGGGAGCCTTTGCGACACTGGGGTAAATGAAAATGAGTATGACTTTTAGGGTAAAAATGACAAAGCAATCTATAAAGATCTCTAATTATGTACTCTCTTGTACTTGATTTCCAATGAAAGGATCAAAGGTAACAATAGAGTTACACAACTCTAGATCAACAACAATATCATTTGAATTGAATTCCACATGAAAATGTTTTTCCCTAATCCCTATTACTTTTTTCGTTAGCTCGTTTGGAATACCTACCACTCGTATCACAAATTGTAATATAGATAGAGGTAACCTAACAAATTTCAAAAGTTTAAAATCATAAATTATTAGAAGATGAATCACATACACATTAAAATCTAAAACAAATAAAACATATCTAACCATTCACATATTAGCCATTTCTATTTTCTGAAATTATTTAAACTACTAAAACAATTTAAAGGAGTACAAGTTAAATATTAATTAATTGTTAAAAAACTAAAAGGTTGAAACAAGAAAATAGAAGAACTATAACAAGGAATTAAACAAATAATTGAGTAAACAATGCACAAATTAAAAAAAAAATACAAATTATATAACCCTACTGCATGGCGTGAACCTCAAAAGGTTTATATTGCTTTTTAAATTATACATATTACTAAATCGCTTTTTATGCAACACAAATTTAACGAGTCATTTTTTCATTTTCATTTACCCCAGTGCCACAAAGGCTCCCATATACGGTGGGGTAAGGGGGGTCGTATGTACGCAGTCTTACCCCTGTACTAAAGCACAGAGAGACTGTTTCCGGATGACCCATAGTGAAATCGCGTCCAAAATTGCATGGACTGACTGCTGCTCCATAACAAAGAAGCGCAGACAGTTTAGTGAGCCATTTTGCTTTATTCCATCATAATCTCAAGCCAAAAAATAATGAATCTTTGACTCCATTGCAAATGATGGAAATAAGTTAAACTTTCAAGTTGGTCGAGAACTGTGTTTTAAACTTTCAACCTTTAGTTCTAGTAAAAGCTGATAAGCATTTAAGTCTGCGACGTTGTTTCCCTTTTGTTTGTATCAGTTGACCTAACGGCGCCGTTTGGTGAAGTTAAAAGATAAAAACATAAGCCGCTGAACAGAGTTGGAACACTGCAGTAGCCATGGAAAATGACGGGCAAGGTGGAAGAAGACCACGGGTGGTATGAAATTAATACCTTCGCCCAATGACGGGCGAAGGGGTAGCGCCGGCACCAGCTCACCCTAGCTTGGTTCCGCCCCTGCCTGCATCTTAAGGTGTTATGCACTAAGTACTTTTTCTTAAAAGAGTGTACTTATATAAGATACGGAGTATTTTATTAAATATATACAATACACACCAAATCAAATATACATCCAAGTAGAATAAAATGACAATAATAATAACATCGAATATGTTTATATAAAGACAAGCCCATAATTTTATATATTAAAAGTTACATCCAAACTCGTAATTAGCCAATCAACAAAGAAACAAATATTAAAATGTACAAATGTCCTTTTTTGTCTTTTTAGCTATTAACTGCTAAAAGCAAACAGCTAAATTAACAAACACGTTTTTGTAACCCGCCATACTAATTCACTGGTCAAATTCGCTGACTCAATCCGCTAACCGCTAACAACTAATTGCCAAACAAGCCCATTGTTTAGAAAGATGATACAACATGGTGCAAACTTTAGGAAGGATGGAAGCTAAAGGAAGCAAGTACAACTACACAATTGCCATGTTTACAAGCTTATAAAGGTATTTACTAAAAAGTACTTGAAGAGCGCCAATCCTAGTTTTCTCCCTTAGGCATTAGGATTTTGGATGTTCCCCGGCAATAGCAGTGAGTGGGACGCGGTTTTTCCTTTTTCCTTTGATCTCAAAAGCTGTATAAGAAAGGAAGTTTGAGGCTCTTCGGCCAATATGGCTAGAACACGTCTCTTGGAGGAGCTTTACTTTCATTTTGTTGTCTACAAGGAGGGGGATTGTGCTAGTTTTTAAGGCAATGAAATGGGTGCGTGTTCAGAGAAGGCCCTGGGATGATTTTGATAGATCACTTGATCAAACTTATCATTTTTTGGGAGATGGAGGATGACGCTGAAGGATAAAAAAAGAGGCCATGGGGGGCTTGGGGAAGCCCGTCCTGTGCGACTGTGCCTTTTGGTGTTTTGTCGAACCCCGTTGCAGAGTGGCCTTTCACCACAGCGGTAGTTGTGGGTGGGTCCCTAGAACTGGATCGAGGCAAACTCTGCATGGAAATCTTTCTTGTCAGTACGTGAAACCGGAAATGTTGCTCACGATCGATTATTTTCACTACGGTTGCCGGAAGCTGGTCAAGCACGTGTCACTCTCTTCCGGTAGTTGGTCAAACCTGTGTTGCAGTTGGTTGGTAGTTGATCTGTGATCTGCTTAGCCCTTTACGTGGACTCATGGACATCAATTCCATATCTGACTACATGGTTTTTATTTTCATTTGTCATGACATTGTATTTTCTTTTTGAGTAGGGTTATCTTAATATAATTTTTTCCCTCCCAACCACAAATTATACAGAGGACTTGTCAACATTCGAAAATCAGAAGACACCTACTTGCACCTGAATACTAGAATTATATGCGCATGAGCCATGAGATTTCTAAAAATGAATTAGACTCTCTTTGGGAAAACAAATCAATATGGAAATAATTTTCCACATTTTATGTGTGTGGTTTGCAGAGGAGATTAAAATAAAAAAGAATTCATCTCAAAACATGGAACATGACTTCATCTTTTTGTTGAATGCTACGTCTGGATTTTTCTTGACCAACACAATCACTAATTGTAGCCACCGCCACCCACGGTCTCCACCACCACCCCCACAACCACCTCTAGCTCCACTACCCCAACCACTACCACTACTGCCGCCACCCAACCACCTCAGCTACTACGTTACCCCCATCTTTTGCGCCACCTGTGCTCCTTCCTTCCTCGTCGCGTCCTGCAATTACCATTACTGTTGTCACTACCCACCCAGCCACCCATCATCAACATCAGCACCCACAACCATTCCCAGTTTCCCATTATGCCATTTCTTTGTTAGCATATTTAGATTTATTTATAATTATATTATTATTATACATTATAATTGTAATAAAAAATCATAGTTATAAACTTGTGATACTTGTTTATATTTTTTTAATATACACTAAAATATTTTTTACATTCCACGAAACAGCAAAATGAAAATGATTTCTGGAAAAAACTAAAAATCATTTTCCTTCCAGAAATGAGTTTCCCGTAATCATATTCTTACTTTACAGTTTCCAACGGGACCCTTATCTTTCCAACCAACAACGCTTTTTTAGTCAGGGTAAGCATCTCAGGATGGAAAACAGATTCGAATGAACTTGAGCAGAACAATAGCATATGTTGTACTTATTTCAGTACTCTGGTAAACCTTTTCCCGTTTAGCTCTTAGCGTCCAGCACCATCAACTAAATAAGTCTTTAAGGAATATTTATATTAAACTGCAATACTATCCTTGACTCCTTGGCAATCAACTTTAAAAAGAATATTAATTTAACATATCCTTAGAAATATAATAAAACCCTGACTCGTATCTCATCAATTACGAATCTAAACAATTACGAATCTAAAAGTGTTAAGTAACAATCGTTTGAACCTTCTGATTGAGTGGATCTCGAAATCGTTTATTACAAAAATGTTGCATGTGGACTAATACGGAGTACGTTTTAAAAAAATCAGTGCACAGAAGTACTACTAGTAGTAAATTTCCCAGATTGGGCAAAAACCAGACAGGAAAGCGAGGCGGATAAGGGGAAGATGTACTGACCGAATCATGATAAATGCAGGAACCTTCTGGATTGTCATCTACGGTGAAGACGGCGTTGCAACCGATCCTCTGGCACCGTATCTTCTCCATCTTCTCCGTGGACCGTGAACGAGCACCTCCCACCGGTCTTGCTCTACCTCTGAATAGGCCAGGCGGCCTGTCATGTGAGGGGGGCTATAGCCCGGCCTGTTTAAGGCATGGTCCGGTCTACCCCAATTAATAATCAAACTAGGCTTCTGCTTTTTTAAAAGCCCGTTTATCTTAACGAGTCATAGGTCTGAGATCGGTTTGGTTCTTATTAAAATTCGATAGAACCATATTAAAAATTATACACATTAAATTCGATTCGGTTCTATTTAAAAATTTAGTTGTTAAATTCGGTTCGGTTCTAGTTAAATTCGGTTCGGTGCTTACCTTTTTTCGATTCCTTAGAGAAATTTATTATTCTCCTAAAATGAACACATTTTACCTTCAGTTACATAAAAAAAAATCACATTTTAAATCATCATGAAATTATGACCACTACATTATACATACATGGAGAATATTACCTGAAATAGGACACAAAAGTTTGAAAATTCCAAAATAGGAATCTATGTTTTTATTCCCAAAATAAGACTAATTACTGTCATGTTTTGTCAGTACTAGACTTCAAACATGGCAGTATTTTCTAAACTTGACATTAATTATTCCTATTTTGGGAATAAAAAATATGACAGTCCTATTTTGAAATTTTCAAACTGTTTTAGTCATATTTCATGAACTTTCCCTACATACATGATATACCAATGTTCAAATATCAGAATAATATTCAAGTGCAAACTTTAAGCTTAAACATAACAAAAACATAAAGGTTTAAAATAGGCATCAACTATCAAGCAAAAAGGTTTAATAGCTCCAAGGTACACATCCAATATCAGGTAATTCAACCCCAAAATAATATTCTTCTACTAGTAATGCACCATAAGTAAAAAAGTACGTAATAATAAACTGACCGATAATATTTTCAATTTACTATGAACAAATAACAATGTAATCAGTAAAATATTAATTCTTTTTTAGGTGAACTCAAATAACAAATACAACTACAAACAAACAATAATATCTTTGACAACCTTTGAGAAAAACCACGTGGTTGCCAAAAAAAATGTTGAGGTATTTCTGTGGACAAGCTTTGAGACAAACAATTATAAAAGTGGAATAAAGTACTAAAATAACAACTACTCGGATTGGTCTGCTCCATAATATATAAGGTATATTATGCATGACAAATATTCTTGACAAGAATTTTCCGCCCGGAACGTCGTCTGTCTCCGTTTGAGGTGCTTCCGGGTAGATTTTTTTGATGAGATTTTTTGAGTATGTTCTACATGAATTGTAGATTATATCCACCAAATTTCAGCTTAAAATGCAATTGAGAAGTGAGTTAAATAAAATATTGAAAAACATTGCTATTTTTATATGTATTTTGACGTAGTGTTTTTCAATAATTTATTTAACTGACTTCTCAATTGATTTTTAAGCTTATATTTGGTGGACGTAATCCATATTTCATGAACATCAAGCTCACAAAAATTCATCAAAAACTTCCACTCAAAAGCACCTCAAATGAAGATTACTCATGCAATGTGAAGAAATTTGGTTCCTGCCTAGGAACCGGAACCGAACTGGAACTGAACCGGAACCGAACCGATCAAATGCTATAGGAACCAAACCGAAAGAAGTTGAAGTCCAAAATTATAGGAACCGAACTGAACCGGAAAATTCGGTTCGGTTCGGATCGGTTTTCCCGATTTTACGGTTCCAAGTCCCAGACCTAACAAGTCAGGCTTAGTCCAATTGTGAGGACTTGTTAGTTTAACAAGTCAGTCTATTTATGTGTGTGTGTATAGAGGAATGAATCTATCCATTCAGGGGGACAAGATGCTCCATTCGGCTGCCACCGTTTGGGGCAGTTCCCGGTGGAATTTTTGACAAAATTTTTTGAGCATGTTCCTTATCAAGTCTAGTTTATCCACAAAAATATCAGCTAAAAATTCAAACGGGGAGGCAGTCAAATAATATTTTGAAGATAACTGCACCAAAATATACATATAAAACACAGTTAGTTTCAATAATTTATTGACTGTCTTCCCTGTTGAATTTTTAGCTGAAACTTTTTGTGGATAAACTAGATTTGATGAGGAACATGCTCAAAACATTTCATCGGGAATCTCCCCAAACGGCGGCGGACGGACGGAGCATCATGTCCCTCCCGTTGGACAAGATCTTTTTCCTCGATTTCACCCGTTCCGCCAATCCGCGTATAAACCGAGGCATGAGAGCCATCAGTCTCGCCCGTTTGCTCCCTGAACGGCTGCATGAACCGGATGGGGCAGGAAGATGTACACTCGGTCTACGCCGAATACACAGTCTGCTTCGCATCCTGCTCGTCCACCATGCGTTGCATGGCCTCTGCCAGCTCCCTCATGATGCGAGGGTCCCTCCTGGCTTCTAGGGTAATCTGGGTGCGTGATCTCCTAATGTTCGCCAGTTGTTCAGAGAGGTCACGACTCATGAGTACGCTCAGAGTTGTTTCCTACCATAGTTCGTTTTGGAGTGTGTAAAGATCAGTGTTCCCATATACTCCATCATGCTGCTTAGTGCGAGAGCTTGTTTTGAAACTTTTAGATCAGTGTTCCCACAGACGGTGTCTGTGTTGAGGTTTATTCTTTCAATTCCAAAGGCCTAACACCTTTGGTTTTGAGTGAAATATTTAGTGGATTATAAGTGATGAGTAAGCACAAGCAACAAATGACAAACAAGAGGAGATATTTAGTGATTGATCCGTATCTTATTTAATAATAATAAGAGTCTATCACAACACACTCACTACAAGCCCGCTAGGTCGATCATCTATCTGAGCTAGAAAGAGGGGGTAATTGCTATTGCTAGAGAGTATAAGTTGTCAGCCCCTTTCAATAAAATAAATGCTACTATTTACACTATCATGGGGCAGGTGATGGGATGATGTGGAAGATTGTGAGTGACTACCTTCTATACCACTAAATCTAGTGCATTAAATGCATTTCCCGCCAATATTTTGATCTTTTCCGCCAAGGGCTCAAACGAGTGTCCCCTTGGTTTGGTTATCCATACTGAGACCCATGGATCAACATCTGGTTCCACTGGGCTAAGGACACTGAAGTTGTGTGTCCTTACGAACAAAGAAGCTAACGGGCTGATGGTTAGGGTTCCCGTAAGTTAGCCTCCTTTTATAGGAGAAGTTGGCTAACTTACGGGTTACAAAGAAGCTAACGGGCTGATACACATTTGTGGCCCATATTACACGTTTAATTGATAACTACACAAATACAAAGATATTTAATTAGATTGGACACCATAAAATATTCCTAACAATCTCCCCCTTGGTGTTCAATCGTGTTGAATCAGCATTACAGCGCAGATATCTTTGTCTTTGTTGTTATTCAGCTTCCTTTTCATTTGAACTTGACTTCTTGAGAAGGCTTCATGAAGAAATCCTCGCAATCTCCCCTTTGATGTTTTCTTAGCAATTTGATCTTTGATGTCGGGGGTTGAGGAATCTTTTTCTTGAAAACTTTGCCTTCCAGAAGTAGCTCTTGATAAGCTTGGATGAAGTCCGGTGGCGCCTCTAGAATGATAGTTCTGATGAGTTTCAGACGCCCATGGAATTCATCTTCAGAGTTTGAATATCTGACCTTTGTCTCCTCCACAATGTAGTCTTTTTAACTAATTGGAATGGATGCATTTGAGGAGAACTTGTCGGTGGCACAGCGGAAAATGATGGTTGACTTGTGAGTGTAGCTGACCATTTGAGTTGCGGAGATAGTAGAGAGAGTGTTGGAGGAGAGAAGTGTCCCAGAATGATTTTTTGAGTGTTAACAGCATGTGGACCACTCTCCCCCTCATGACGATCCGATGAATCGGGTCGTCATGCCTTTATTCATTTATTCTGAACTGAAAAGAAACAGAAAAACAAACAGAAAATAAAATGATAACGTAGCCCCCCGGGGGCGTGAAGACGCCCATTTTCATCACTATAGAGATAAACTCTAAAGCAATGGCCTGAGAATGTTGGTGATTCTTATGTTGCAACAGCAGGACTTCCTTCCGATCATTGGTCTGCATCTGTAATAGATGAGCCATATGGAAGTTCTCGCGGGTCATGATGACCTGCAACTGACTCTAAAAGTGCGTCCGTGTCCTAGAAATTTCAAAACATTTGGGAGTGAGGTTACTAGACACGACGTGATCAATGAAAGTAATGAGAGATGCAATTTTCCGTGAAATATGATTAAACACCTGTCTGTTGGGAGACAAGTGAGTGGTCTTGTGTAGGGTTCAACATGCACTGTTGGACAAGATGCAGTGACTTCTACCCGGGATCTGATTAAATCAGTCCTGAACCTATTTGGAAATTGTCCAGAGTATTTGAGTGGCTAGGAGTAAATGTTCAAATCACAGCAGGCAGTTGAGGTAGCAGACTCATCATTGATTATTGTTTTCTTGCTCACTTGAGCCTTCTGCTTCCTAACGCTCATAATAATCACTCACTCACTCACTCACTCACTCACTTACTCTCGGCTTTGTCCCTTGGGTAGGCTTAGTTGGGTTTACTAAGCCATAGGGACATGTTCTCTCATTGATTTTCTCTCTGTACTCCCCCTCAACTGGAGCACTCGGTATGTTTTGTCATTGTTTGGCGCCGGGGAGGATATCATTGAAAACTTCCCCTAAAATGTTGCATCCTTTGAGAGATTCCTTGCTTTGTCGATGTAAGGCGCCAGGAGGAGAAAACTGACCCCCCCCCCCCTTAGAATATGCAAGGTTTGATTGCTCACAGCTTGTCATCCCCGCCATGTGTGTGGAGCAATCTGAACAAGGTACCACACATGACGCTTTTCCCTTAGCTCATCATGTAGAATTTCAGCATATTAGGGATCACATAATGTTGATGAGTTAGGGGAGGCTTCAGTAGTTGATTGTTGATTGCTGTAAGAAGACCGTTGACGCGAGGTTGATTGAATTATCTATGATTTTTGGACCTCTACAGTGGTTTTGAAAATCTTTGGCCTTAGGGTTTGACTTTGGAAGAATTTGAACAGATTTGCCTAAGTTTTGACCTGGACATCGGTGATTTACAGTTTGTCGGAAAAGTAACGTTTTAGCCCTCAAGAACCGCGCGTGAAGGC